TATATATCAGGCTTGCCACGTATGTTCTGTAGACCTGTCGTACGAAATGTTGTTACAGTATGCGTCTCTCAGGCGCATCCGGTGCTTACAGTATCCACGTGACATGCAGCATGAGGTGTGTTGAGCTGCCGTACTCGTATGCTGTGGTACAATGTGATATACCAGGATTGTCATATCTTTTATTTGGGGCCGGGCAGGGGCCTGTCCCATTTAATGGAGGAGGTGCGCGCGCGCCCCGGGGGGGGGGGTCGTGTGCACCAAATAAGGAACATGTCTGTACCTCCCCTTGCACCATTTCGAATATGTACAACGTATAGCGTGCGGTGATTTTGGGTGTCCTATGCATACGTATTTAGGTGCGTCGTATCCATTCACCCCCGGTTACAGTATAGCCTACCTCGACAAACGCCTTGTACACCATTGCTTGCGGTATTCTGGGCCTTATATCACCTTACACCATTGCGCGTGTGGTTCTAGCCCTGTTATCACCCGTGCGAAAGACCTGTCTGCCTGCACCACATCCAACCGAGGGCAAATCCCGCGCATTTCTCGCGTGTTGTTTTCGTATTGCGGACTGGTGCACTCGGGCGTGTTAACCTCTCGGGGGTGTCAGTCTATTTGACCGAGTAGAGCCAGAACCAAATGTCCTGAGCCCCAGTCCCTCCTTCTGAATTCGGGTGCATTGTCACTTGGTTACGTAGTCGTTTCATTCGATTTCGCACTCATCTCTCGGTGTTCTTAGCCCTATCGCGTATTCAGCGTAGGGTTTCTTATCTCCTTACATGTTGATATATTGTCTCACATGATTTCTTATTTCCTCACATGATTTCTTATTTCCTCATATGATTTCTTATTTCCTCGTATGACTTTTTATTTCCTCACATGATTTCTTATTTCATCACATGATCCCTCATTTCCTCACATTTTTTTTAACACAATCAGGTTTGATCGACTGTCGCACCACACCCGATTTGACTGCGGCTGCGGCGGAGTTTGATGCGATTGCCAAGAAAATACCTACCAGCTTAGGGTCAAGGTATGGGCTCTGTAGAATATATTTTCAAATCAATACACATATACATATATATATATATATATATATATATAGTGTTATAGTATAGTGGGCTTTGTAGATGTGGCAATAAGCCTTCAAATATTCTAACATGTTTAGTGCGAGGTGCGGTAACTATTGAATTATGTACATTCATGCATATACAATCAGCGTGTGTAATATAATTATATCCATAAAAGTGGATGCATATATGTACATTCATACTTATACAATCAGCGTATGGAATACATTTATAGCTATAAAGATGCCATAGTGTGCACAACGGCTGATGATGTATGCCATACCATGTACTGCATAGATACTCCGCCTTGGAGCCGTCAGAAGTGCAAGGAGACGTTGACTCAGTGGTGCATTATGTTTCTTGGAAACCAATAGCAAAGTAGATACATGAATAAATATAAATATATATATGTATATACCTAGAATGTATGTACGTATATAAACACATGTATATATATATATACATATATATATCTGTATATATTTACCTAATATGTACGTACGTATATAGAAACATGTATATACATACTTAGAACGTACGTGCAGTCTGTACATACACACATATGTATATTTCACCAATCAGTCCTACGCTACACATTCCTTACCACATACCCTTGCATATACCGTGTACACACAGATGCTTTGCCTTCGAGCCATCGGAGGCTCAAGAAGACAACGCACAGGGAGTCATCATGATACCAGACCAGAGCATTGGCCAGGTCAAATTCTACATCTCCACTCAGCTCACTGACTTTGGGTCGTCTCTGCTGGATGTGCTTAACTCGCTGCTGAAGAAGAAGATACAGGAACGGCACATGGCCAATCCTCGCATTCTCAGGGTACGGTGGCACAGGGGGACATGTGTGTGTGTGTGTGTGTATGTGTGTGTATTTGAACGTACATGTATGTGCACGTATGTATGTTCGCTTGTGTGTTCTTTCTTATGTGTACTCATGATTTTGTTTCTTTGTATTGAAGAGTGTAGTGTCATCTACGTGAGTGAATGGCTGAACAACGTGCCTTCTGGTCGTACATGCTTCCCTGCTGTCGGTGACCCAGCATATGTATGTAGAAGGTTTTAGGGTTTAGGGTTTTCTCGTAGATATATCCTGCCGCCTTGAGTCGCATCGGGAACTGTGTGCTCAAATACGCTTTTGTGACTGTGTATGTACATGTCCATGTATATGTATGTTTGTCTTTCTTGTGCATAGATAATATGTCCTACCAATGCACCAAACCTCCGGGGCTGCTTAGGGTTTTAGGGTTTTAGCCCCGGAGGTTTATTTAGGGCCTATACCCTACAAACCCTAAAACTAAGCTGTGGAGATGTGGCTGTCGACGTCTGTGTATTACTGTGCCGGTGTTTGTGTGGGGCGTGGCTCTGGTTGCTTTGTTGGGTAGGTATAGTCCCAAAGTTACATCCCTTCGGAACCTCTTGTGTGCACTGCAGTGTCTGTTTTATCAACGAGCTAGGCATTTGAGACTGCTAGTCATGCGCAAGCACTACACAGCTCAAGAAGAAACGACAAAGGTTACGGAGACGGGGTCTATTGAAGTCTTCTTGGAGGGTATTAAATGGGTCACGTTGTTTATGTAGACTAAGAATTCATGAGCACAGCCCACTCATGTGGTTAGTTTGTATGCCAATGGGAAGTGCTCGTGTATGTCATTTGGTATATACGTATGCATGTCTACATAATATGGCGCAATCACGCCCATACTACATTGTGGCACACACACAAACACACACACACA